AGGACCTATTTGACGGAGTTTATGAAAAGTCAAAAATACTTTTGAACATTTTTTAAATAAGTTTTCTATAAGTATTTTATTTGATTCGAATAGCTTTTGAAAAAGACAGTTGAAGATAATTTCCTAGTGAAAACGTACTTTGTGATAGGGTTCTTTATGCTAGCCGGTGAATATGCAAATGGAGGACTTTGTCGCCTTTATTGACTTGTTATTTTCATCATTGTAACTGAAGAATATAATGTGTTATCGACTCATTTCTCTATCGTTTCTCTCCATTATGACAAACTTAAAAAGAGACTCGTCCTAATATCTTTCATATACGAAAAAAGAAACAATAAGACGACCACATATTAGGTTGAACTATGATCGATTTTTTTTTTTTATTTAAAAAAAAAAACATATCAAGTTTCAGACATTGTTAAGTAGCAATCACCCGCAAATGGGTAAATTTAAGTAAAGAAAAACGTGGGAAGCATTTGTTTTCTCCTTCACGACATTACGTCTCTATTTGAAATAATTTAAAAGGTCGACGTCAAAATCAATAATTAATTTTAACTAAAATGAAAATCAATTTTTTTAAAAAAATTCCATTAAATACTTTGCGAGGACACGAATATTACTAAGAATTGGACCAGATACAATTTTGTTAAAACATTAATTAGGTTCTCGAAAAAGATACCTTAAGCACAAGGGAATCACATCACACGAGGACTACGTGACTTCGAGGAATCATATCACGGATTCTGGATGCTTTGAATCTTCTTTAATAAATATTCTTTTCATATTACAATGAATTATAATTTCATATAAAAGGAGACTTGAATTCGAAGGGTCAAATAAAATACACAATCTTCCCATACTATTGTCCTTATCTTGACTCCATTTATTTTCCACGCCAAAATCTTTGAATTTCGTAAATAATTGACAAACTTGGTATCATGGTATGTTATTTAAACTTTGTTTGGTAGCCGTTGTCATTTATTTTGTAGAGAAAATCTAATCGTTAGGCTTCCTTTTCCACTGCTGCATTTATTGCTAATCCACGTGAAATTACATTTGTGTCCCTTTACATTTATTTCATTGTAGAAGAGTTTCATTTTGGAGAATTCACACACTGTTGAGTAAAAAAAAGGGCTGCAATGGCCCACTTTATTGTTCCAACGGTCAAAAAAAAAATACTAAAAATGTCTACCAAACAGGAGCTTAAGATAATTCCCACTTGGGAGATGAAGATTCCACACTTAGCCAAAATTGATAATAAATTACACAACCAATTCATTAATAAAATGGAATTAAGCTTGAATCTTATGGTGGTCGATGGTTGCCGTACCATTCCTCATTCTATTTTTGTCTCGTTTAACGTTTATAGATTATCGAAACAAATTTCAATTATCTCTTGATACAAAGACGACAAATAATGAAATAAATTTGTCAAATTTATCTTGATTGTTAGTGTGTGTGTGTGTGTGAAAGAGAGAGAGAGAGACAAAAAGAAAAAGAAATGTACCTATCTTCCTAATCGATCTCATGACATGATTTGTCGAAAATCATATCATATAATGTTGACAAAGAAGAAAAATGGTAATCCATCAAAGCACAATCATCACTTCTTTTCCAATATTTGATGAAAATATCCATCAAAGCACAATCATCATATAATTTTCACGCTTAAGCACTCGATCAACTTTTAAATTATTTCTATTATTTGTGGGTTTTGCAATCATGGAACTAATCGCTCCAATTTTATAGGGTCCATAATAATTAAAACTCATACGTAGTTGTGTTTAAGATTTTCTCTAACACATACCTTCTTTGATTAATGACTAGTATTAAGAGCTTTTGACAAAACTTTTACTTCTGCTTCTGTTTCTGCTTATTGTGGAAGAATTTTTTGAGTAAGTCATATGTCGGCTTTCTCTAAAAGTTATTTTAATCAAATAAAATTATCCAAAATACGTTTAAAAACAACTTTTGACTTTTAAAAAAGTGTACCTCATGTGAGTAGTTAGACAAAGAAAAGAGTAGTACAAAAATATATGATGCACAAATTACGTTTATATTTGTGCAAATGGG